TGTGGGACTTAGGTTTGAAGACACAGATTTGAACAGAGACAAAGACAAAGCCCATTTCCATTGAAAATCAAAATCAAGATCTAAGAAAGTAGTCATGCCTGTGTGCCTATCTCTATCATTTAGACTGCAAGGATTTACAGTGATAAATTATATCATGGCAAATGGAGAAATCAGAGTCAACAGAATGCTATTTCCTGTTAAAGATGGGACAGACAACAATGTACCAAGTCAGGGATCAACGAGGGAAAGCAAGGTCAATTTTAAAGTCACCACAATCTCATAGGCTAAGATGTGTGTAGTAATTCTAGTTGAATAGAAATATTTCATGTCATTGCTTCTCGGCCTTTTGGCTAAGATCAAGCGTAGAAATGTTTCATGTCATTCTTCTTAAGTAAGGAATAGCTGGTTCAAAGGGATTGATTTCATTATTGAAATATTTACAAATATCTTCCTGAGTGGGAACAATTTCATGCTCTGTTTAGTTTCCCCAATAACAGAGTCTATATGAAAAAAATATTAGAAGATGATAGGCACCAGTTGGCGATTTATCATAAAGGTACTAAAAAAGTTCATAGAAAAATGAAATTAGGGCATGGTGCAATGGCTCAATGGCTACACCGTTACCTTGCATGCACTGGGATCCCCTATAGGTGTGGGTTGCAGTTGCTCTATTGTCCTTCCAGCTCTTTGTAAATGGCCCGGGAAAGCAGTAGAGGCTGGCCAAACACCTTGGGACCCTGAACCCATGCAAGAGATCTGGAAGAAAGTCCTGGCTCCTTGTTTGAGATTGACTCAGCTCTTGCCATTGTGGCTATTTGGGGAGTGAACCAGCAGATGGAAGATGTTTCTCTGTGTCTTTTCTTCTCCCTGTAAATCTGATCTGCCTTTCAAGTGAAAATAAATAAATCCTTTTTTCCAAAAATTATTTTATATTTTCCATGAGTTCATTGAGTTGAGGATCCATCAGATATATGCTTTTCAAAATTTTTTGCGCCAAAATAATTTCACTTTTTGATTCCACTTTTCCATGAGCTACCCTTGCAGTTCAAAACTAATCATTTAACAAGGGGAAGAAGGAATGGTAAGAAGTTTACAAATTCCTTCCTTCACAAACATGCCTAAAATCTATTGCTTCTTTGCTCCTTACCGAAAATCCCTTTCCACAGCTTTACCATTCTATTAAGGGGTCCTTTAGAGATAGTTTAATTGACCAAGAAAAGTATACAGGTGTTCTTCTCAATCACAGAGCTCAGAAAACCTGAAGATTTGAACAACAGGTTAGGTTATTGATGAATAGCTATGTTTTGAGTATATAAATAAAATACACCAACACAAAACCAACTGAAAAGACAATGCTTTCATCCATAAAAACTTCTCCAAATATCAAATATAAATGATAACTCACTCATTCTTCTATCTATACCCTGAAACTCAAAATAACCTTCCTGCACATATATACACATGAATCCATATATTTGTTACGTAGGGTGGTTAGATACAACCTACAAGTAAAATCTCTTAAACATCAGTATCATGTGCACTGCTTTCTTACATATAATTGATTTTCTGAAAAAAAATCTATTTATATCTTTGAAAGGCAGAGTGACAGAAAGAGAGGGATGGAGACAGAGACAAAGAGGTTTTCCATCTAGTGGTTCACTTTCCGGATGGCCACAACAGCTAGGTCTAGGCCAGGCTGAAGCCAGAAGCCTCATACCTACAACTACATCCAGGCCTCCAAGGCAGAAGGCAGAAGGCAGAAGCCCAAATTCTTGGGCCATCTCCCATTGCTTTCCCATAAGCATTAGCGGGGTGCTGGATTGGATGTGGCCCTCCAATATGGAATTCAGGAATTGCACGCAGCAGCGTCATGTGCTGTGCCACAACACCAGCCCCACCATTGGTGTTTTGAGTGGAGTTGTAAGAAACTGAATTGGAGCTGAATAAAACAACATTTCTTCATTTTCTGTCTGGTGCCATGTGCTACAGCATCTCTTATTTTTAGGGTTTCAAGACGAGTCCACAACCCCTCACGCTTCCTTTGGCCAGAATCCCTCCAATAGCATTGGGTGTTACAGGTGGAAGCTCAGGGAACAGGATGTTCTCAGAGGGACCGGAAGGAAGTGCCGAAGGGAAGGTAGAATGCTCTCTGTAAAGGGCAAGTGGCCAGTACACCCTGTCCCTGTCCCAGGCTGAGGTGATCTCTGGTGCCCCACTCCCAGAAAAGCCACCTGCACCATGACAAGCACCAGCTGTCAGGGTAAGTACCCAGGGTAGTAGAGTCCCTTAAATATGAATCCAATGAAACAGCAATTAGTATAAAAAGATCCAGTTGGAAAATATAGGCAAGATCTTTGCAAAGAGGCCACTGCGTTAAGCAGTGTGGAACTCTCAGCAGATGGGCCAGGCCACAGGCTGTCCCCCCTCACTTCTAGAAGGCAAGGCCAGCAGCTCTTTCTGCACCTTTATGTCCTCTTCTTTCTCTCCAGGGAACCAAAAGAGTGACTCTCAGGGGTGTGGCGAAGGAAAGCAGGTTATCAAAAGCACAAAGAATCGTACCCATTGCAGCTGCTCACTCCTGGGAATGACAGATGATAGCCCACAGTCCAAAGAGGAAGATGAAAGCCCTTGGGTGTGACCTTACCACCCATGGCCCAGGACCCAGATGTGGGCATGCCTGCCCAGAGACCATTCCTGAAAGTACCTCTCCCACTGAAAGCAGGAACTGAGCCACTAAGGGGCCTCACTGGGGTGGGTTCCAGCTGACAACTGGAGAGCACCTCGGGAAGTATGAGCATCTCCCTGTTGGGGCCCTGTGAGCCCCTGAGACAGCAAGCTCCCAGCTGGTGGAAATGTGACTCAGTTTCTGCTAGCACTTCCCATCTTGGGCCTGGAAGGCACTACTGCTTTGGGGTCTTCCAAAATGTACCCCCCACCCCAAGGGAAAGAGTTCCACACTGGTAACTGGGGCCTGCTTTTGAGGCATGTGCAGGAAAGAACATTTCCAAATCTGTGTGCTTTCTACTTTGCATTTAGACCTCAGTAGAGTTCTATCAAAAACCACTGAAGGGAGCAGCAGAATGGGGAAGTTAACTCCTCTCTTAAGTAGCGTAGTCACCGGCTGGACAGGAGCTTGTGGGGAGGAAGAAGGGTTCCACAGTATCTGGTCAACGTTTTCAATGTCTCCAGAGTCGAAGAAGTATTGTCTCTGATCTACACCCACAAAGTGGAACTGACACCAGCACCCAAGGGTAGGTGACACAATGCTGCTCCATGCCCAAGCCCTGACAGCCAAGGACCCACAGTCCTCAGTAATGTGCCACCTGCTGGGAGACCTTGAAAGGCTGAGGGAAGGGGCTGGAGAGCAGCAGAAGCACTAAGCCTCACCCTCTCTCCGTGCACCCAGTAGCCCAGCCAGCCCAGCCAGCCCAGCCCGCCTTGGTCCAATAAGCAGACTTTTCCTTTTTGCATAAAGAAAGGAGACAGCCACGGAGGAAGCAAGACTGCAGTGAACTGCTGTGAGAACAACGGAAAAGAGCAGTCAGGAGGGGTGGTTGGCCTGGCAGGTGAGATGCCAGCTGGAACCTGCGTTAGCGTGGGTAGGTTTGAGTCTGGGCTTCTCTAGCTTCCTGCTCAAGCCTACCCAGTAGTCCTGCTACCCACCTGGAATGCTAAATCGAGTTCTTGACTCCCAGCCCCAAATTCTGCAAACACTGCAGGAGTGAACCAGAGGATCTCTCTGCTTCTCAGACAGGAAAAAAACAAAAAATGCTGAGAAAGGCAAGGCGGTGTTTGTAGAACTAGTGTCATAGAAGAAGGAGGAAGTTGGAAGAGAAGCAGATGAGGGCTGGTGTAGTGACAAAGCAAATAAAGCTACTGCCTAAATGCCAGCATCCCATAGGGGTGCCAGTCATCCTGCTTGCTCCATTTGTGATCCAGCTCCCTGCGAGTGTGCCTGGGGAAGCAGCGGATAAAGGGCCCCAGTGTTTGGGTCCCTGCACCCATGTTGGGAAACCTGGATGAATCACCTGGCTCCTGGCTCCTGCCTTTGGCCTGGCCTAGTCCTGGCTGATGGGGGGCTATCTGGGAACTGAACCAGTGGAGACAAGACTTCTGCTTTTTTTTTTTTTTTTTTTAAGGAGAAGAAGGAAGAGAACCAGGTGAAAGGGGTCACGAAACAAACAGGTGAAACTGAATGTTTGTAGGTCCATCAGTAGCAGGGAGACTCTTGAGAAGCCAAGACGTGGTAAGGGTGAAGTCCTCTTCCATTTAGAACCCCAGTGCCCCCTGCCTCTCCCTAGGACACCTGAGGAATCTGTTAGTATCTTACCTCCTGGAATTCAAACAGCGGGCTGCTTTTGTTTTTTTCACACTCAGAAACATTGCTATTGGATGTAAAAGAGTAGTTGCCCGTTTCTTCCCATATTCTTCTATACACATACTGGGTGGTCAACGGAGAGGTTAGACTCATGGCAAAAGCATTCAGGAAAATGGCAGGCTCAACAAATAAAATCTTCATTTTGGTAGGCGAGACAGGTAACTTCTGTAATAAGAAAGAGGAGAGGGGCTGCCAGCCGCAACCTCACCCAGCAGGCTAGACGTTCCAAGCCCGGAAAGTCGGAGCCGCGTCGGGAAGCGGCGCGTGGGAGCGCCGAATCTCAGGGCGCACTCCCCAGGACGCTAACTTTTGCGGGAAGCGAGGGTACTCCGGAAAGCCAAGGGTGCGCCCTGCGGAGGGCCTGGCAGGGAGCTGTATCCGTCCTAGCTCAGCTTCGCTTCCCCCTTCCCTCCCCGCCTCCAGCTCCCTCTGAGCTGCCAGCATTTTTTTTTTTTTTTTTTTTTTTTGGCCGTAAGAAGTAAACAATGAAGTTTCTTTGGGGACACAACAGTTGCGTAACTGTGATTATTTTGCTGCGTGTTAACCCACAAAGGGGGGGAGAACGTATACAAGCTGTTCGCAATCGGAAGGGGCCTTTTCCTGATGTTTTAAAAACACTCACCCCCACGGAATAAGTCCTTTCTCCTGCCAGGAGAGGTGAGCAGTGTCACCGGTCGCTGTCTGCTCGGAAGCCCCGCGCGGGTAGCGGCCTGCAGAGCGCACCCGCACGCAGTGCCGGGGCTAAGGGCGCCCCAGGGCGCGCGCCGGGGTGCAGCCGGGTCAGGGGCTAGAGGATGTACGCCCGGCGCCACGCGGAGCCCACAGGGACTAAGCAGCCGGCGGCGTTGGGCCAAAGGCCGGGAGGACGGAAGGGAATTCTCCGTGAGACTGGCTCGAGCTCAGATGTAAAACAAACCGAGGCAGGCGCACTTCCGCATCCAGGGTGGCACCAGCGCGGTCGCAGCGCAGCCCTCGGTTCTCCCGGTGCGTTCGGCAGCCCGCGCGTCACCGGTGGCTTCTGTCTGCGGCTGGGTCCGCCGCCCGGCCTGCGATCGCAGCGGACTCTGCCTCGGTCAGCTGCCCGGGACAGAGGCCCCAGGAGGAGGCGGGGCCGGCTGGGGCCGGGGAACTGTCACAGAGCTCGGAGGCTCTCCGGCGATTGGACACTGCGGCGGGCGCCCCGGCGGCGATGGGTCCGCCCGCACGTCACTCTTGTTCAGCGGTTTCTCCGCACTTCCCCAGCCTCGGCCCGGGAGACACGGCTGAATTCTCGGTGCAGCTGCCCAACCGCTGGGTCCCCGGCCTCTTGGCTGGCTCGCTGCAGCTACTAAGCGTTTCTGGGTCCGAATATCGGGTTTTGACAGAAGCCAACGGGATATTTGCAAAAAATTAGTCCCGTTTTCAGGCTGCAATTCTGGGTGGGCCGGGCAAGTGTCCAGCGGGAGAAGCATAGTGGATGGAGCAGGACTGTGTAGGGGGCGAGGATGGGGGCTCAAGGAGCTAGCTGCTCTGGGTCCAGAGGCAGCCCTGACTCTTCTCAATGTTGGCAGATGAGTTTTTATGGAGCCCCTCTTTTCCCCTCTATTTGGGAAGAGGGAAGGAAAGAGGCTGCTCTTAGCTGCCAAACTGCATCAACACCTGGAGAGTCACTTGATGGCACCTTTGAAACCCCAAGGTGGAGAAGAATGTTCCGAGGGCATGGCTTGAGTGGCTTTGACAGTCCTGAGACGTTCCTTTCCCCTAGAACCCGAAGCAAGTTCTTGAATGTCTGCATTCGTGCCTTTGTCTGTCAGATGGAGGTAAGAAGAGTTTTACAGGGGTTGCTAGCCTGGTAGTACATAGCTCCTGGGATATAAGAGGAAGTGTCATGCCTTTGCGCCCCCACTCCACAGGCCCATGAGGAACAAGCCTATAGCTGAAGGGGCAGGATGATTATTTTCGTCAAGAGGAAGGGCGAGAGTGGAGGACTGCAGGTGCAGCTCGGCAAGCAGACGCTGCACTTGATTGTGGATCGTGAGGTGTGGTTTGGGCAAGCGTGTAGAGAAGCAAGGCCTGACTGGCCTGGCTGCTGTCAGACAGTGGCTGCAGTCCTGTGTTTAGTCTCTGAATAAATCTTGGGCTTGCCATGGACCCTTCTCAGTGTCGGCAGATGAGCTTTTATGGAACACTTCCTACGACTTTCAAACAAGGGGATAGGGATGTTGGAAAGAAGATACACAAAAGCGAGTCAGATAACGTTCCCTAGGCAAATGGATTTTTAAAAAAATGTAAAATGCTATACCATGTGCTACACACTAGATTAGGGACGTCTTCAGAGCGTGGTGGGTGGACAAGAGTGTCAGACTCCACCCAGACAGAGCTGTTCTGGAGAGAAGCCATCTGACTTCCCGAACATAACAAAGAATAAGCAAATTCATCCATGCAGAAGGGGTTTTGAAAACTGGATAGTCATCAAAATGACCACAATAACATCTATCCTGGATCTACTTTCTCAGCGTTTGGCCAGCTTAGATCTGTCTGTCTAAACCACCAGGAGCAAAAGGATCACTGTAGAATCAAGAAGATCAGGGCTGTGCCCCAAATGGTCCTATCTTAAAACAGCAATGGTTTATCCCTCAAGCTGCATGGCCACCTTGGGTCCCTGGAGGGCTCCCTCCCTATGCTTTTCTCTCACAAAGACAAATGGAGGAAACCATCACCTGAATATTACCACTTGCCCATTGGGATGGAGAAGGTTGAGGCATGGGGGAAGATGGAAGAGTCAAATGCTCCTTTTCTCCTCCCTCCTCTTTCTTCTGTATTGGGAGGAGGGAAGGAAAGGGGCTGCTCTTAGCTGCCAAATTGCATCAACACCCGGAGATGGAGATAGTCACTTGATGGCATCTTTGAAATCCCAATGTGGAGAAGGATATTCCGACGGCATTGCTTGAGTGGCTTTGACAGTTTTGAGACGTTGTCAATTTCATTCAAGGTTGAGAAAATCTCTCTAAGGTCTATTGGCTGATTAGGTCTACCTTAGTACATTCACACACCAAGACACTGGTTGCCAAAGCTTGGCCAGGAGAGTTGCCCAACCTGTTCTGATTTCCATTCTCTGGCATGGCAGTTGGCATCCTCTTTGCAAGCCTAAATGAGCTGGCTGTCATGTTCCCCACGCATCTGGGCATGCCGTATACTGCACAGGCACCAACAATTGAGGAAGCCCAATCCCAATAAATGCATTCCAAGGATGGACCACAAATCCTGTGATTTTTCCTGTGGCCAGTTTTGAGTCCAGCTGTCCAGTTCTGGGTTCCCCCAGGAAACCTCACCTAGGGTGACTTCAGATCTGATTCTTGTGTGTTCCAAATAGCACGGGGTCTAATTCAGTCTGTCACCTGCATCAGCCTGTGCACACACTGGTGCTTGTAGTTGCCTGGTCAGTTCTGTCCCCAGTTGCATGTCCTATGCAAACTGAGATACTATGGCCTAGTCCAATCCAGCTTACCACAAATCCTGCCCTTATACACACCAGCGGGAACTACAGCCTATTTGGGGCAACCCCCAGTAACCCCACCAGGCCCACCCCTAGCCTCAGTTCCTGTACATGCAGGAATATGCAACAGACTACTCGGATCCATTCTGCATCCCATTGGCTGTTGTATAAATCTGTATGTGCTGTGACTTATATCAGCCTGTCCCACCTCACAACCCAGCCCTCACATATGCTGATGGAGACTGCCACTTTGTCCAGGTCTGGCTCTCATGTTCACCAACAGGAGTTGTAGTCCAGCACAAGAGTACCCACAGTTTCCCTATTAGAACACTGCTAGCCCCGGCTCTTATACTTTCCAGAGGGTACTGTGATCCAGTCTGACATGACTTGCACCCATTCCTGGAACTTGTCAATGGATGCTGCAGCAAAGCCTGGAAATCTGTACTTATCCTGGCTCTTGCATGTGCCAGTTGATGCAATGGCCTGGCCTAACTTTGTTCTCCTTCACATACAGGCCAATGATTGTTGCAGCCCTGCCTGGACCAACCCATGACCAGTCCCAGCTGTCACACTCAGCAGTGGGAGAAGTCATCTAGCAGGGGAGCCCCTGCAGCATCCCCCTACCAGTCTTGGATCTTACATGTGCTCATGGGTGCTGTGGCCCAGTCTGACATGGCTCACTTTGCCTTGACATTTGCTGGTAGATGTTGCAACCTGGCTCTGCTTGGCCTGCCCCAGTCCCAGCTCATGCTGGTGAGTGCTGCAGCCTAGTCTATCCTAGCTAGCTCTAAGTCCTGGTCTTAAAGGGAACTGGTGGGTATTGCGGTCTAATCCAATCTGGCTTGCATCTAGTCTTGGCTTTCACCTGCCATCAGGTGCTGTGAACTGGCCCAACCTGACCCACATGTATGCGAAGGGTACTGTAGCTCAGCCCAGCCTGGCTGTCCCACTTTCAGCTCTCATGCTTACCAACAGGGGTTTTGTCCTAACAGGGAAGTTCCTCAAGCTTCCCTTTCAGACTAGCTCCCAGTTGTGAATCTTGTGCACACCACTGGGTGCTTGGCCCAACCTCACTTGGCCTGTCTCCAGTCCTGACATTTATTAGAACTTACTGTGGCCTTACCCAGCTAGCTCACATCCATTCCAGCTCTCACTGTTTGGGTTCTACAGCCCAGCCATGCTCAGCCGACTCCCACACCTGACTCTCATATGGATCAGTGAGTGCCACAACATAGCCCAGCCTGGCCCATACCTTACTCTGGCTCTTGCAAACACCCAAGGGTGCTGGAGCCTAACCTAGTCTGGCACACCTTCAGACTCGACCCACACACTTGCCAGGTGCTGTGGTCATATTCAACCCAGTCCTGACTCTCATACTCTTCTGTAGGAATCACAGCCCAGTAGGGGAGTCCCCTTAGCTTCCCTACCAGACCTGGTCCCAGCCACAGATCTTGCCCATGCTGGTGGTTGCTCTGACCCAACCTGGCATTGCCTGACCCTCCTACCCCTTCATGTTGGTCCTTGACCACAGATGATGCAGCCTGACCTGGTCTAGCCCTCCCCAAATACCACCTCTCACTGGTGGGTGCTGCAGCCTTAACCCTATTCATCTTGCCCTGACTGTTAACAGGAATTTGTCACTATATTAAGTACTGTGAGTGAAAACAAAAGAAGCTAAAATACCGTAGTTATTCGTTACATAGGTTCTTTACCCAGTAAGGAAACATGAAGGAAAAACCAGCCCTAAAGCAAGTGTGTGGAAATCATTAAAAATTTGCTCTCCATGCAGGGCTACAACACCTGTGGGCTTCATGTGAGCTGGATTAACGAAGGGCCAGGCTGGGCTGACTGTTCCAACTGGTGCAAGCAAAAATTAGAGTGAGTGAGGGTTGGTTGGGCTTTGCCGCAACATCAGATTGCAAGGGCTGGCACTGCGGGCTAATTCTGTCAAGTTCAATGCCAGAACCACCTGGACAGTGCATAACCTGGGAGTGGGAGTGGGCTAGAAGGGAGATAGTGGGCACCTCTGTTGTGGGTTACCACTCCCACTGGAGAGCACGAAAACCAGGACAGGGGCAGGGGTAGCTAGATGGAAAAGCACCTGCCAGAATGTGTGGAATGTGTGTGGGCTGGATAGTAGATTGGTTGGGTTGAACTAGGCTTTAATGCCCACTGACATGTATGAGAGCTAAATAGGATGTGGGACAGACTGAACAAGCCTACGGTATATACTGACATGCATGGGAACCAGGGTAGGGGATAGGCCTGGTGGGGGTTATGAGGAGTCACCCCAACTAGGCTACAGCTCCCAGTGGTTTGCATGAGGGCTGAGTATGAAGTGAGCAGGATCAAGCTGGACTATAACACTCATTGGTTCAAGTGGCAGACAGGGCTGGAAACAGAACTGACCCAGCAACTGCAACGACCAGCATGTGCATAAGCTGATTGGGGCGACGGATGGTACCGGACTCTGTACACACAAGAATCAGATCTGGGATCATCTCAGATAAAGGTTCTCTGGAGATTCCTCCAACTGAACTGCTTATCTCAGAACCCCGACCATGAAGAGACTATGTCAGCTAGTGGATTCTGAACAGGTTTCATCGCTATTGGAATGGTGATATTCACAGCAATTCAGACCTGAAGAACTATCAAAATTGCTTGAGCAGGACCCTTGGAGCGTGCCTCACATCAGGGACCTGGGATGGATGGGAGGCTGGTGGGGCATTTTCCTTTGTTTCTCCCCTGGCCCCAGATACAGGGGAGAAATGATGATATTAGGGTGGAAACAATGGTCTTACCCACTTTCCTGTAGCCCTTGACCCTTTGTACCCTAAGCGACTAAGTAAGATTTTAAAAAAAGAAGAAAAAAGAAAATAGCTTGACATATACTACACATTTGTTGAATAAACTACACAAACTTCTGGGGAAAAAAAAAAAAACCTGCTCTCCCCATTCACAAACTGGTCTTTTTGCCCCTCAGAGATTTTTCCCTGGCTTTATTCCTTCAAAAACTCTGAGAAAAAATATTGAGAATAAAGTTTGGTCCTCCAGAAGAGTCCTGAACTTCTGTATACCAGGTCAACAATCTAGAAGTTTTATTTGTGTTTTTGCTTACAGTCACATAGGCTCCATACAGAGAGATAATGTCAGACTAATGAGAAAAGAAGTGCATTGAATATAAGATGAAATGCCCCAGCTAAGTGAAGACCAAACAATGTCCTATCATATGGGTCAAGAGAAGTTTTCACAGTGTGCTTATAAAACATGTGGGTGAGTTGACAAGCCTCTGCCATAGCCTCATTGTATTTGGAGGAAGCTATGTTTTGCTGGGAGGTGCCTTGTTTAAGAGTCAAAAAGCCAAAGTGAATACAATAGCGATGAGATTTTGTTGATTTCAACATGGGCTTTTCTCTATAAACCAAATCTGCAGAGTAAGATGTGATGACGAGACCTCTTCCACCTGTAACTGCTTACTAGATTTTTGCCAATGCAATGTTGATAAGAGTCCAGTGGAACAGAGCTCCTAGCACAAATTGTTGAAAAGAAATGCAATCCTATCATATGACTTTGGTCAATAATTTGCCAAAAACAGATCTGCCTGAATCTTATCTTTTTGAGAAACTCATCAGCTGACTTCAACACTGAATTTCCTGACCTCTGTGGCATTGGACACTGTTGAACAGATGCCTCTCTGAAAATGTTCTCTTCTTTTGGGAAGCCATAATTGGACAGACTTTCTGCCACTTTGACAACTCCGTGGTTTCTTGGTAAGCTTGCTTTTCAGTTGACACGGTTTTCCTGGTCTCACTGCAGCTCTCTTCTCCCCAGGTAATCTCATCCAATTTCATGAGTCATCTTCAAATCACACCAACTTCACCCAACCACCTTACCTTCACATCCACGTTTTTCTTTTGGACTTCACACCCAGAGCACCATGTAAGTACACACTGACACTCCCTTTTTCAGAGCCTTATGGACTTCTCAATATTGACATAGACTTTATCCAGAAAGCATCTTTATATTTTGGAAATCTGAATGTTCTGAAATCTAAAATGGCTTTAATTGTCCCAGGTAGTGCTCAAAAAGCTATGGTTTCAGGTTTTGGATTTTTCAGGTCTGAGATGCTCAACTTATTTTGGGGGGGGGGGTGCGTATGTTTGTTGTTTTTATTTTATATCGGAAAGGCAGAATTACAGAGGGAAGGAGATACAGAAAGATCTTCCACCCACTGGTTCACTCCCCAAGTATTTGCAACGGCTAGGGTTGAACTGAGCTGAAGCCAACATCCAGGAGCTTCTTTCAGGTCTCCGATGTGGGTGCTTGCAAGGTTTTGGGCCTTCCTCTACTGCTTTCCCAGATCACAAGCAGGGAGCTGGATGGGAAGTGGAGCAACAAAGACATGAACTGGAGCCCATATGGCATCCTAGTATGTGTAAGGCAAGGCTTTAGGCCATTGTACCATGCCCTCGATCTGTAGTTTTTAAGTGTCTATATATAGTTTGTGTTCAAAGCAAATATCATCTCCCTCATAAATTTGATCTTTTTGGTAATCATTACTCAGTCAATTGTGTTACCTGTCTAATTAGCAGAGATAGACTGGGGAATCTGTCCTGACTTTTTGTGGTCATCAGATACATCGTCAATACTTTATATCATGAATAAAAATGACATCTTTGCCATTGTAAGATATGTGGATATAAGGCAAACACTTTGCTTTAGAGTATTTAGGCTGAACAGCTTCTTTCTGACTTTGTGGAGGTAGAGGTGCTCTTATCATTGGTGCATTGGTGACTGGCATTTGAACATTTTCAGGGAGAAAGTGAGCAAATGTGTTAAGGGATCAAGGAGTTTATTTGTAAATCAGAAGTCCTGACTGTTTCCTTCAAGGATTTAAGTTATGACAATATGCCTTCTGGGCTGGAATGGACTTGTGGAGATTGGGTTTACAGAAATGCACAATAATGGCTTCAAGAAGAAACCCTCCTTGAACAAGTCTTATGCAGGGCTTATCTTGTCATAGGGGAGTGTCAGATAGGAGCAGTGATGAGATGACATCACATCCCAATCCATTGCCTTAGAGCCTGGGTGCCTAAGGAGCCATGCCTGATTAGCCTTTAATGAAATCACCTGTTAATTAGAGTTGGAACCAGAACTCAGTATCCTACAGGGGGAAGTAACCATGGCTCTGACCTTTGCACCTAAGTGCTGTGCTGCCTCTCCTCTGTGTCACCAAGGTGGAGGTTGGAACCTTAGACTCAGTGGCCAGACTGCTTAGATTCTTTGTCACACAAGTGCAGCAAACATGACAAACACCTTTGGGACAAATAAGCACCTAGTGAGTTCTACTTTTCAAGAAGGCAAGAGTTCTGAGGTTGAAGAACAGATTTTTCCCAAGCAGTAGGATAGAAACTCACACTTGATTTGTGTAGTGACTTCAAAGTAATTTTTGTCAAAAAAGATTTCTTTTTGTTTGGAAGGCAGAGTTACAAAGAGGAGAAACAGAGAGATCTTCAATCTGCTGGATCACTCCCCAGAGAGTTATAACAGGCAGAGCTGAGCTAGGAGTTTCCCAAGCAGGGAACCCAAGGACTTCAGCTATTCTCCACTGCTTTCCCAGGTCATATTCAGGGAGCTGGATTAGAAGTAGAGTCGGGAAATGAACGGTGCCTGTATGGGATGCCAGTGTCACAGGCAAAAATTTAACTTACTATGCCACAGCATTGGCCCCTACAATGCCACTTTATCTCTAACAGGTGAAATAGGACCCATGAACAGAATCTGACATTTGCTGGGTCTTTAGCAATGTTTATATAGAAGTCCAAACTTTGGTTGATCAGATGCATATAGTGCTGCCTTTCAGAAAGTACTGAAGACAACCTGGTCAAGTTCCAAATTGGCATGTCCTCTTCCAAGCAATCCGCTCAGTTTTCCCCAGCTGGATAGCATGAGGTGGCTTTGCTCAGTACTAGTGAACTGGTTCCCAATATGCCCTCGGGAACTGTGCAGAATGATTATTTGATTTTCTTCTAAGAGACTGAGTGTAAGGCACTATGTTTTTCTGCCCACTTGACATTAATGAGTACCAGAACATTTGTCAATGTAGAATAATGACAGGAATGGGGGCTGGCACTGTGGTGTATTAGGTTCACCTCCATCTGCAGTGCTGGTAGCCCATATGGGCACCAGTTCTAGTCCTAGCTGCTCCATTTCTAATCTAGCTTGCCACTAACACACCAGAAAGTAGTGAAACATACCTTAGGTCCTTGGCCCTTGCACACATGTGAGAGACCAGGAATAAGCTCCTGGCTCCTGGCTTCAGACTGTTTGGGGAATGAGCCAGCAGATGGTTCACTCCTTGTAAGCATGCCTTTCAAATAAAATGAAATATTTTTTTAAAAAACCTGAAATTTTATTCTCAACTAGAAAAAGAGGGGAAGATGTTCAACCTCATCGGTGACAGATAGTCTTGTTCATATTCAAAATGAGCAAGGATTTTATTTTTGCTGATGCTAAGATTCATTGGCAAGCCTGAAGTGAAATGAACAGTGGCATACCCTGTAAATTAAAGATAAGTTGATAACGCTTTCCCCAGAGTAATAACTTAGCAATGGACACTAAAATCATTACACAACATGTATGTAGAATGTGTAACTGGCAGAATGATTAGTTTAGCTTCTTGAATTTTCATCATAAGGTTGCTCATAATTTGAAAAGACCTAAATATCTCTCCCCCCTCTCTTTCTCCCACTTTACCCGTATGTGTGATGGGAGAGTATACATAATAATATAAACCTATGTTTAGAGAGGTCATTATATTGTGTCTTTCTTTCTTTCCTTCTTTTTATTGTTATTTTTAGATTCATTTTATTTTTTATTGGAAAGTCAGATACACAGAGAGGAGGAGAGACAGAGAGGAAGATCTTCCATCCATTGATTCACTCCCCAAGTAACCACTATGGCAGAGCTGAGCCGATCCAAAGCCAGGAACCTGGAGCTCTTCCAGGTCTCCCACACGAGTGCCGGAAGCCAAGGCTTTGGGCCATCCTCGATTGCTTTCCCGGGCCACAAGCAGGGAAGTGGGGAAGTGAGGCTGCTGGGATTAGAACCAGCATCCATGTGGGTGTCCGGTGCATGTAAGGTGAGGACTTTAGCTGCTAAGCTACTGTGCCTGGCTAATATTATTTTTCATTATACAATTCCAAAGGAACAGGGATTTTCCCCTCCTCCCACACACTATTTTCCCCCATATTATTACAATGATATAGTCCTTTAGGAGCAATCACAAATCCAACTTTCTGCTATTTAGTGTGTCATGACATTGTAGGTATCAACAATGGCAGATAGTCTAGTATTCTATTTCATTGGGAGTCTTCCTGTAATTTGAGAGTAGAGATGCATACTGCAATGTATCTTCCCAGTATGCTAGTCTTCATTATTTATTTCACCCATGATATATATATATATATATATATATATATCTTTACATATGTATCTATTTATGTTATATTGTATTTTTACAGGAAATTTAGATATAAGGACAATTTTCATGTTATGACATATATGAGAAAAACAGGCAACAGAATTAGATAATATAATCCAATTGTGCTTAAGAAAATACATATGTGAATGTATATTTTTAAAGCCCAGAAAGTAATATATGAGCTGTTAATAGCAATTATCTCTGAGTGCATTACTAACAAGTTTTATGTGCATATTAAATACCATAGATGGGGGAAAGTGGCCTAGTGGTTAATCGGTCTGTTGAGAGGCTTACATTCTGCATCAGAGTGCCTGGGTTCAATTCCCATCTCCAGCTCCTGGGAAACAGTGATAATGGCTTCAGTAGCTTAGCTTCCTTCCAGCTATATGGGAGACTTGGATCCAGTTCCTGGCTCTGGGCTTTGGCCTCAGCCCAGCCCTAGTTATCAAGGGCATTTGGGGAGTTAACCCACAGATGGGAGCTCTCCTCTGTATTTTAGGCTGTCTCATAAATGAATGAATGAATGAATAAATAAATAAATAAGTTTAAAAGCATTGTCTATACTGTAAGCTTCTTTTTTCCCCCCAAATTCCCAACAGTGACTGTGTATTCATTTATAATCAGAATGTGTTTAAAAAAAAAGAGATCTTAAAACTATTCTATAAAAAGACCACTCATAGTCATTAAAAGGTTTTAGAGGAAACACACACACACATACACACACACACACACCGTAGCCTCCCAAAGGTTGATATCTTCTAGGTGGTTTTACAAGTTTTAAAGTTGAGTCAGCAATCATGTGATAAAATGTGCCAGGTAACCCAAGATAAGACAGGACAGATACTAATGAGTGACAAGCAACTGACAGGCCTTTATCTGGAATAGCTCCTGTCAGGAATGAAGAGGCAAGTGGTGAAATTGAGGTGAGCTTTTGGATTACCAAAACAAACCTGTTTATAACCAGACTTAGGACAGCGGGACTCCCAAACCTCAGGCTTACCCTCTATAGTTACAGGGAGGATGAAACCCAAGGTACGTGAGATTCTTGGAAGCGTGCATTCACCTTTGTGCCTTCTCATCCTGGCAAAAGGGAATTGTGGGAACACTTCTCTCTGGAGCCCAGTCGCTCCTGAGTCTTCTTATCAGAAGGGAAGAGTCTAGGAAAGAGGAGGAAGCTGATGGCGAAGAGAGCCTGTGCGGGCCCTGGAGGACACTGTGCACTCTGATCTTCCCACGCCCAGCTGTTTCTGTCATTACTGAAGGAGTCCTGTGGCCAGGGAACTGCTCACAATTATGAAACAGGGCAGTCACACGACCAGGCTCAGATCCCTGGGAGAACCACACCCTTGGGTATTGTTAAAAGAAGGGAGACAGGATTGATCTTGTCCATATTCACTGCACGTCTGACTCATTTGTGTTTATTTCATTCTATGTCCCTCTGAGCTCGGCAGGAGAC